CAAATTGACTTCTGCGTTATCGCACTGTCGTACAGCTGTCTCTTATACACATCTAGATGTGTATAAGAGACAGGTGATATATATATAATCATGGCAATAGGGCTTGGTTCAAGGTTGAACTACGCAATGAGTTGTACTCCCTCAGATGCGAGCTTGATAGGCTGAAGAAGAGGGTTGACAAGCTTTGCGAGGATTTCAAGATCACACAAGACAAGCATGCTGCAGCAGGGATCACAGCCAAACAGTTGAAGCAGGCAGTGGACAACGCAGTTTTGGAGACCCACATAAATCAGACTTCTAATCGCCACAATCATGGCAGGAACAACCGGAACAATCCGCAACCCTGCCAATCAGGAGAAGAAAAAGGCGGCGGAAACAACACCCAAGATGGCTAATGATGTGGCAGCACTCAAATGACAGCTGGAGGATATGAAGCAACTATGTTTTGATGAAATTTGATATATAGCCTCTCTAAAAGGAGCAGTAAATGGATTCAAGTGGCCTTTACGAAGAGAGTTCATTATCTCCAAGACAGAAGACAACTGTATAAATCAAGATCCCTAACAAGAAAGCGACTCCTACCGCGAATGGAGCTGGGCCGAGTGCTAGGCAGGGGTGAGGGGTGGTACATCCTTCAGGCGAGAAGTAATCAATGCCGTCCCTCGGACTTCCCTACCGTAAAGGGAAAAAAAAAAAAAAACAGGAGCAGGGCCGAGTGCTGTAAAAAATCCGCCACTGCGTGTAGAGGACAAATGACAGAGTGCCATCAGATCTTCAGCTTGAAGGTGGGTACTGGAAGGCAAACAGTTTTTCGAGACTACGCTAGGGAGTCTGCAAATGGGAGATCTAAAAACAGCTATGCGTGAAAAATGGGCTGAAGCATAAGAGCATGCCAAACACGAGATCGCCTTAAAAAAATATCTGACCTACTCATATTCATCACAGCAAATATGATCAACCGAGTTGAACCTGGAGAAGAGGCTCAAAAGAAGCCGAGAAGAAGAGGTGGAAGACTCAAAATCTTCTGCAGAAAGACAAAGAAGAAGAGGACGAAGCATCAGAGGGAACTCTGAAGCACGGGAGGCAAGTCAAGATAAGAGCCAGCAGCCCATTAGCAGGAGGATTGTCCTACTGTCGTCAGCCTGTCCACTGCTAGGCTATGCAATTTTGTCCAACGATGTAGTCTAGTCCTGTCTGAGCGTGCCAGCGCTAGAAGTGGAAAGACTAGGCTATGCAATTTTGTCCAACGATGTAGTCTAGTCCTGTCTGAACGTGCCAGCGCTAGAAGTGGAAAGACTGCGTCGATAAACAGAGAGTACAGACTGGCTACACTTCAACCCCCTTTCGTGGACAGGTATCATGGGGTAAGAAGACTACTGGACTGTTATCACTGCAGCACAACTTCGAAGTAATAGCGGTGAAAGGATTTCCCTCTGCAGACCCCCGGTAGCCGGCCCCAAATCCCCAAGAGTCCAGAAGGTTCTGAAATCCCAAGTCCCAGCGTCGCGAGGGGTAGGTCCGATAGGCTAGTAAATTATCATAGGTTCAATAGGCCAGCGAACGCCGTAGGCCCAAACCAGGAAACATCCGGAAGAGCCAGGTTGGGGGTTGAGGGTCTAGTCGTAATAGCAGAGACGTCTAGAGGGCTGAGTCGTGAACAGTCTGTCCCGTACCCCACTGAAAAATCCGGAAAATCCAAGTCCAGTCCCGGAGTCCACAAAATTGCAGCGAGTCCGAGGACAGCCCAGAAGATTCCGGACCAACAAAACAATTGCCACAGACAGGCCACATCTGACCGGTACCGGTCCGAGGCAGGGCAAGCAAAGTCCGACCCTATATTTAGCTGCTACAGTGCAGCAACGGCACACGGTTGTTCATTCGTGAAGTTGCGGAGGCGCTGCTGCTGCTGCTTGTGTGACCAAGCGACTTGGGCAAGACACCACTCGAAGAAGAAGGGAACGACGACAGCCATAGCTAGGGTAGTCATAGGACGGAAGCAGGGCGGCCATTCCAACAATGAACAATTATGTGTCTTCTCGTCTTTAAGATATAACAGATGTCATGCTAGGCAGCAACGCAAAGAATGCCCCGCATTATCGAGGCAATGACATTCTGCTTGCAATCGCTAAAGTACTAGCTTTTTGCCTCTCACTATCGCGAAGAACCTGCCTTGACCGGTGATGCGAGATCTTGCACAAAAAGTTGGTGAAAAGTCTCGTACAGGAAAACGAAGATGTGAACTCTAGTATGCTGCTGTCCACTGACCGCAACCCATGGGTTGTATATGGCAAATGCCCACTTGTCTACTCTGAAAGAACCCACCAATTCTTTTTGGCGTTAATAGTAAGCTCTCGAGTACAACTTCACTAGCCAGCAGCTTCTTTCACGGGCTGCGAGGAGATTCAATGTTGTTGTTCTTCTTAAGGGGGCGAAAAAAAAAATAGATTACTACCGCCTTCAGCCAAATAGAACGCCCGGTCAATAACGCTGCATGTGGACTGAAAGTAGCCGAAAGTACATCGACAATGACCGGGCGTTCTGTTCGGGCAAAGACGGTAGGGGGACACTGGACCCAGTTCCCAGCTGTGAATGACAGGAATGTTGCTTTTCCAAACAGGGGTGTATATGTCTGATATATATTGTCACATAACTACAAACTAAAAGAGCGCACTTTGCGGAACAAAGAATAAAAGCAAAAAACGGGCACAGTGATAACATGCAAAAATAAAAATAAAAACAAAAAGAAAAAACAAGGGCAGATTGAAACCATTAAATTTCTCATTCTTCTTTGAACCCCACCTCCACTGTGCCTCTCACGTGCAAGGCTCGCCACGTTGCGAGCTGCCCCCATCCCCGTATGCCATAACAGCCCACTTGCACGCTGTGAGAGAGGCAGAGAGAAGGGGAAGGTGTTAAACACAGGGAAAAGCTCAAGAATGAGGCTGTCCTTGACGACAGAAAGGACACACATTGTAAGGATGGGGTGGATGAGCGCATGGAAGACCTAACTGAGCATTCTCAAAACAACAACTGCCACGACGGCTGGCATKAAGCATGCCAACCATACATTCCTGACAAATAGCATGTCTATTGCAGGCCAGAATAAAGGAAGAACGCCCCCCACAAAAGAGCATGCATTCAGCATAGCGTCCGTGGCCACAAAATGGACATATAG